GATGACAGCATCGGGAGTGCGGGCTGCCAGCTGCCCTCCTGGGTGCTGCTGGATGTCCTCATGGGGAGTCGGCCCCCCGACAGCCGAGCTGGACAGACGCAGCCCAGAGCCCTGTGGTGTTGATGCTCAGTGCTGTGTCTCGGGGGAAAGGTTCTGGGGAGTCCCAGGATACAATCTGTGTGGGGTGTCACTGTGCTGGGGCTTGGCTGCTGCTGGTTCCTCCTTCCACCCCATTTGTGGCCAGATGCTAAATGGAGGTCTGGGGATGGTGTGTGAGTGCACGTGTAAGGTGTGTGTGACTTGGGGTCCGTGTGTCTGGGGAGTGTGTGTAGTTCATGGTGCTTGTGGTGGTGTGATGTGTGTGATGGTGTGTGGTGTGGCATACCACAGAGGGCGTGTGCTATGACTGCACGTGGGGTGCGGTGAGCTCGGCGGCCCTGAGGAGTGTGTGTATGTGGGGGAGTGTGTGGTGTGTGGGCTGTGGTGCTGTCATGTGATGTGTACACATGTGCTGTCTAGTTGTGTGGTGTGTGGTTCCTGAGGTGTGATATGGACATAGTGGGTATGTGTGATATAGGCTGGTGCGTGTCATATGTGGTGGTGTGTTTGACATATTGCTAGTGTGTGTGATAGGCAGAGGTGTGTGCAGTAGGCAGGGGTGTGTGGTGGTGCGTGTCATAGGCCAGTACGTGTGGTAGGCAGGGGGGCATGTGATAGGTGGGGGTGCATGGGATAGGTGGGGTGTGTGGTGGTGCATGTGGTAGACAGACAGGGGAATGTGTGGTTAGGTGGGGTCGTATTATAGGTGGGGGGTGTTGTGTGGAGGGTGTGATGTGTGTGGTGTGGAGGGTGTGTGGTATGTGGTGTGTGATGTGTGGTGGGGTGTTGAGTGTATGTGGGCGGTGAATTGTGTGATGTGTGGAGGGTGTGATGTGTGGAGGGTGTGTGATGTGTGGAGGGTATTGGGTGTATGTGGGCGGTGGAGGGTGTGAAGTGTGGAGGGTGTGATGTATGGAGGTTGTGATGTGTAGAGGTTGTGATGTGTGGAGGGTGTGAAGTGTGGAGGGTGTG